TCGGGTCGGCCATGTTGGCTGCGTGCAAGGCAAATGCCCTACCGCTGTGCTAGCCTGGCAAGCTCCCCGTGACGTATTTGATATGCCAGACACAGCAACAACAAAGTCTCCAATGGAGACGTTACTGGGCCCGCTCGAGCAAACAAATCAAGCATGGAGTTCCAAAATGTAGTCTTCCTATAAAAGATTCTGGGTCATTTTCACCGGTGTCCTTTGTAACTCCCTGCCCTCGATGATACTCACTGAGGTAAAATGTATTTACTTCATGGCCCTGCCACACTTCTGTCTTCAGATCTACCTAATGAATTAGAAATCCCCTCTTTTTAATGCTTCTGATGACTGTTTCATTTGGCCTAAAGTTCCAACTCTAAATTACCAAATGCATTATTGTAACAAGGACGGGTGATTAATATTTCCAGGGACATCAGTTAGTGACCACCCACTGGGTCTATGAACTGCAAAAGTGGTCTTTAAAAGTTTTTTTCAGGGGCTAAGGCACTTGTCTTGCGTATGCCAAAGTTTGATCCCTGGTACTGGTCATCCATGGACCCCCGGGTACCATCAGAAGTGACCCCTGAGCACAAAGACAAGAGTAAGCCCTGAGCACCACCGGGTGTGCGCCAATAAACAAAACCCCCAAAATTCCGTTAAAAAATTTTAAGAAGATGCTTCTTTGAGGTCTTCCTTGATCGCATCTCTGCACTGCTTTGCGAGCTCGGACGTTCGCTTGCGGTTGCCTGAGACTGGATTCCACGGGATGTCAAAAGACCGCGTGGCCGCCCACCTACCAGATGGTCAGACTTCTTCGTCAAGATCATGAACGATCGGTTTGAGGCTCTTCATGTTCCCGGAGCGAACAGACGCCATTGGGCTACACTAGCACGCGACAGGGACAATGGAGACGCTACTGGCGCCCGCTCGAGCAAATCGACGATTAACAGGAAGTCAAGTGATCAAGTGATCAAGAAGATGCTTCACCAAAGGAATTTGTAGATGGGGAATAAGTCCATATAAAGATGCTTGGCTGGGACTGGAATGGGAAGGAATGGGAGTGAAGATAGATGGTCGGCAGCTACACCACCTCTGCTTTGCTGATGACATTGTTTTAATAACACCAAACATCAGCCAAGCGGCACAAATGCTGGCCGACTTTGACCGTGAGTGTGGAAAGGTAGGACTACAGCTGAATCTTACGAAGACAATGTTTATGAGAAACAGCCTCGTTCCTGACGCCCCATTCGCTCTCAATGGAACGACCATCTCCGAATGCAACAGCTATGTGTACCTAGGTCGAGAGGTCAACATGAGAAATGACCTGGCACCCGAGCTGCGCAGGAGGAAGAGAGCGGCTTGGAACGCCTTCAAGAACGTCGAAGAAATAGCTAAGAGGACGAAGAACCTCCGGCTCCGGGCACATCTCTTTGATTCCACTGTTCTTCCTGCATTAACATATGCCTCAGAGACCTGGGCCCTACGCAAACAGGATGAGAACGCCATTCAGGTCTCCCAAAGAAGAATAGAAAGAGCTATGCTTGGAATATCACGTTTCACTCAAATGAGAGAACGAATCCGGAGTTCTGACATCCGTCGACGATCAAGGATCAGGGACGCTGTCTCATATGCCAAGGTGTCGAAAATCAGATGGGCTGGTCATGTAATGAGATTTAAAGACGACCGCTGGACTAGAGCTGTTACCGACTGGATTCCATGGGATGTCAAAAGACCGCGTGGCCGCCCACCTACCAGATGGTCAGACTTCTTCGTCAAGATCATGAATGATCGGTTTAAGGCTCTCCGTGTTCCTAGAGCGAACAGACGCCATTGGGCTACACTAGCACGCGACAGGGACAAATGGAGACGTTACTGGCGCTGCTCGAGCAAATCGACGACTAACGGGAAGTTAAGTAAGTGATTAAGAAAGATGCTTGGCACCCAAGAATAGCTGAGATCAGCACCAGGAGGATTACTCCATAGCTTAGTGGCCAGCCGGGCATTCTAGAGGAAAAGGCAGCTCAGATAGAGAAGGGAGCACCAAATAAAGGGTGTTTGGAGGATCCTCCCAGGAGGGGAGATGCATGTCGAAAGTAGACTATGGACTGAACATGATTGCCACTCAATGCCTCTTTTGCAGACCACAACACCCAAAAGGAGAGAGAGAACAAAAGGGAATGCCCTGCCACAGAGACAGGGGGGATGGGGGGATGGGGGTGGGAGGGATATTATTATCTATGGTGGTGGAAAATGGGCACTGGTGGAGGGATGGGTATCTGATCATTGTATAATCAAACCCAAGCACAAAAAAATTGTAAATCTACAACTGTGCCTCATGGTGCTTCACTAATAAAAAAAAAAATTAAAAATTAAGAAAAAAAAAAAAAGAAAGATGCTTGGCAACGTGAATTACTCGAGAAATGCAAAGTGAGGCCACAAGGGGGCAGCATCTCCCTCCCATTAGAATGGCCAGAGGAAGGCCAAACCCAGAGCACAGCAGGCAGGGCGCTTGCCTCGCACGCAGCCTCCCGGGTTTGATCCCTGGCATCTACATGGTCCCTCGAGCCCCATCAAGAAGGATCCCTGAGCACAGAGCCAGGGGTAACCCCTGAGCAGAACTCGGCGTGGCCCCCGAACAAACCACAGCGGCCAAAATGGCCAGATGAGAAGCACCCAAAGCAAACACAGGCCAGCAGAGAAAACGAGCACCTTCCCCACTGCAGGTAGTGGTATGAGACCCTGCAGCGGCTCTGGGAGACCTTGGCACTCGCCCTGCGTGAGCCTAGGCTTACGGAATGATGTGATTGATTCCGGGTAGTTCTGCCACAAACCAACATTGATGCAGCGTAATTGGTCATAAGGCAATCTGACCACGAGGCGAAGTTGCCATGAGAATGAAGAAAAAGAAAAGAAAAGGCCATTGTTCAAAAGAGCATCATGTGGGGCTGGAGAGAGAGCACAGTGGGTAGGGCGTTTGCCTTGCACGCGGCCGACCCGGGTTCGATTCCCAGCATCCCATATGGTCCCCTGAGCACCGCCAGGAGTGACTCCTGAGTGCAGAGCCAGGAGTAACCCCTGTGCATCGCCGGGTGTGACCCAAAAAGGAAATAAAAAAAGGGTAACAGATCTGAGCTGGAGTGATAGCACATAGCACAGCGGGGAGGGCGTTTGCCTTGCACGCGGCCGACCCGGGTTCGATTCCCAGCATCCCATATGGTCCCCTGAGCACTGCCAGGAGTAACTCCTGAGTGCAGAGCCAGGAGTGACCCCTGTGCATCACCGGGTGTGACCCCCCCCCCCAAAAAAAAGAGCATCATGTATCGTATACTAACAAAAACTATAAAACTGAGCGATAGCACAGCGGTGGGGCATTTGCCTTGCGCGCAGCCAGCCCAGCTGAGCCGGGTTCAATTCTTCTGCCCCTCTCGGAGAGCCCAGCAAGCTACCAAGAGTATCTCACCCGCACGGCAGAGCCTGGCAAGCTACCTGTCAAGTGACGTAGTCAATATACCAAACACAGTCACAAGTCTCAAAATGGAGACGTGACTGGGCCCGCTCGAGCAAATCGATGAACAACGGGAGGACAGTGACAGTGACAGTGATGGGATATTTTCATATTGATATTGAATAAAAAATCGCTCTTCCCCAAAGTGTACAGATTTGTGACCATATCAGGAATAGGTTTCTTTTGTGCACTGGGCTCAAGATCTTATTTTTTGTTTGTTTTATGGGGGAGGAGAATTCAAACCCAGCTGTGCTCAAGGTTTACTCATGGCTCTGTGCTCAGGGATCAGTCCTGGCTGGGCGTGGTTATGTGGTGTTGGGCATCAACCCTGGGATGCCCATATGCAATGTAAGTGCCTCAGCCCTGCACTGTCTCTCTGCCCCTAATTCTATCTGAAGTCATGCCGGGCTTTACCACATCCCAGTCTTGGGCAAGGTGCGTGGTGGAGCCAGTAAGAAGGGCCAAGCACGGTTGGGAAGATTAAAAGATTCTCTATGGAAAAGATGGGGCTGGAGCGATAGCACAGCGGTAGGGCGTTCGCCTTGCACGTGGCCAACATGGCCGTCCCGAGTTCGATTCCTCCGCCCCTCTCGGAGAGCCCGGCAAGCTACCGAGAGTATTCGATATGCCAGACACAGTAACAACAAAGTCTCCAATGGAGACGTTACTGGGCCCGCTCGAGCAAATCGACGATCAACGGGAGAGCCTTTACCTATGGAAAAGATGCTTAGACAAATGCCTGACATAAAGTCTGTTGGCTGTATCTTGGATATCACTGCAATTTTTTCTCTCCTCTTGAAAATCCCTCTCCAGCCAACCACTCAGGCGTCCAACAACTTAACTTCTGGTATAATAGTTTCCTCAACACCCCTGGACCTAATTCTTCGTGTTCATCGCTGTTGTGCTTCTATTCCCGTGACTAGTAAGGACCTCCTAGAAAGTCTAAACTCCAAGTCTTCAGGGCTGGACCCATAGTACAGCGGGCAGGGCACTTGCCTTACATGTGGCCAACCTGGGTTCAATCCCGAGCACCCCGTATGGTCTCCCAAGTCCCACACTAGGAAAAACCCGTGAGCACAGAGCCAGGAGTAAGTCCTGAGTATCACCAGGTGTGCTCTCCCCCCACCCCGCCAAAAAACCAAAATTAGTAAGTTTGGGTGGACAGATGCATGCAGGACTTGCTGTGTCCAGCAGGGGGCGAGCAGTACCAAGTTTTTGGTCTGTGTTGCGGGTTCTGGGAATTCCTTGCAGGAAGGGCAGGTTGGGGGTGGGGGGGGGGGGCAGAGCCCACCAACAGACACAGCCGGGAAACACCATTTCCTCAAGCAGAGGCACCTGAGAGAGCAGGAAGGGCCGCTTCAAATCAGGCAGGCCGGGGCCAGCTGCTCATCCCTCCCCCCATCGTACCTGGGTGGTCTCCCATAACCTCTGGACCATTCCACTTCAGTTCCGGCAGCCACCCCCCACCTTCCCAGACGCACAAATGAAAGAACACCGCCGCAAAGACAAACAAACATGTCTTTATTACTGAATAAACCGGCCGGGAGAGACAGAGTGAGGCATGTCCTTCCGGCTCTGATCAGTCACAAACTCCTGTGAACCCTGTACAAAAGGCAGGCTACAAAACTCATACAAAAATACGGTCAGCGAAGCAGCAGCCGGCGGCGGGGTGGGGGGCGCGGGGATTCAAGGCACGTGGGAGGCTGCAAAAAATGAGTTCGACCCAGCCTCGGGACCCGACAAAGGCACTGGGGGCCCTGGGCCCGCAGAGCACCCCCTTCCCCTCTGCACATGGGCTGGGGGTGGTCACGGCCTGAATGCAGAGGATGAGGAGTTCTCGCTGCCAGGGCCACCTGTGCTCCCCCCGGGGAGGGTCTCGGGCTCTGTCCCCCGGGGATGCAGTGGCCGCCCTGGCACACGCAGTCTGAGGCACGGTCCGTGTGTGGTGTGGGCCCGGGGGTGCCCGGCTGTCCATCCGCCCTAGTTGGGGTAACACATGCAGCAGCCTGGAGCCGCCGCGTCCATGCTCGCCTTGCTGCCGGGTCCCAGCAGCCCGTCGGTGACCGAGTGCTCGGTGATGATGTCCTCCACCCGGGTGATGTACAGGAACGTCAGCAGCACGCCCAGGAACTGCGGAGGAGAGCAAGGCGGTGGGAGCCTGGCAGGGGTCCGGGCTGCCCCCCAGGGCTGGCCCCCGCCCCTGCCACCCAGAGCAGCGCCAGGCACCCTCCCGGAGTCGAAGCTTCTAGGAGCCCCTTCTCCCGGGAGCCCTGCCCTCTGCCCCACGCTGCTCTGCTGGGTCTTGGGGCGCTGACCGGGTTGGGACCGGGTTTCCTCTGCCAAGTGGGCCGGGGGCCTGGGAAGCACCTGGAGGAGGGTGGGCGCCAGCGCGACCCCTGCTCCATCCAGCATCTGGCGGCTCGAAGACCCTCCTGCACCCCTGCTTGCCCTTGGTCCCAGTGCCACACGCACAGAGCTGCAGCCGGCCCGCCCCGCTCTGTGTGTGTGTGTGTGTGTGCGTGTGCGCGTGGGGGGGGGGTTTGCCCACCTGGGGGAGCAGGATGCCCAGCAGGAGGCCAGCCATAATGGTGTAGTTGTCCATGAACCAGATGAGCACCGCGTTGGTGCAGCCGCGCACGTAGATGGTGTCCTGCACGCTGAGACGCTGCACGGGGGGTGGGGGGCGTGGCTGATCAGAGCCCGGCCCACCCTGCCTCTCACCAACCCACCTGGCGCTGCCCTCCCGGGGTTCGGGCCCAGCTGAAGCTCCCCCCACGCAGGGTGAGAACACGGATCTCGGGGCTGCGGGGACACTGATTGCCCCAGAGCGATCCTACTCACGGGCACCCCTAGCTCGGCCCCCGCCTCTCACACCACCCTCCCTGAGGAGCTCAGCCCCAGGTCTAGCTGGGGGGTGGGGGCACCTGGACAAAGCAAAGCGTCCCCCCGGTGTTTGGCACCCCGCCCTGCACGGGGCAGGAACCCTCCGATGGAGGAAGGCATGATCACACTTCATTTGGCCTGGAACGTTATCAAGCCTTACTCATCGTTTTCTAAAACGAGGTCAGCGGTGAAAATGATGCAAGTGGCCAACACGTCATCTAAAGCCACCCCACCCCCACCCCAGTCCCGACCGCTCCCCGCTGGGGGCCTTGTGTCCAGGGCAGCTGCGTGGGGGGGGGCGGGGGGGCTTCCTTCTTCTGCCTCAGTCCTTCATTGTTTGACAGGTGGGACAGGCCACGAAGGGCCTTTTGGAATAACAAGGATGCCCCAGCCTCCTCATCACCTCCCGGTCTCCCTCATCACCTCCCGGCCTCCTCATCACCTCCCGGCCTCCCTCATCACCTCCTGGCCTCCTCATCACCTCCCGGCCTCCCTCATCACCTCCCGGCCTCCCTCATCACCTCCTGGCCTCCTCATCACCTCCCGGCCTCCTCATCACCTCCCGGCCTCCCTCATCACCTCCTGGCCTCCTCATCACCTCCCGGCCTCCCTCATCACCTCCCGGCCTCCCTCATCACCTCCCGGCCTCCTCATCACCTCCCGGTCTCCTCATCACCTCCCGGTCTCCTCATCACCTCCCGGCCTCCCTCATCACCTCCCGGCCTCCCTCATCACCTCCCGGCCTCCTCATCACCTCCTGGCCTCCCTCATCACCTCCCGGCCTCCCTCATCACCTCCCGGCCTCCCTCATCACCTCCCGGCCTCCTCATCACCTCCCGGTCTCTCTCATTACCTCCTAGCCTCCCTCATCACCTCCCGGCCTCCTCATCACCTCCCGGTCTCCTCATCACCTCCCAGCCTCCCTCATCACCTCCCTGTCTCCCTCATCACCTCCCGGCCTCCCTCATCACCTCCCGGCCTCCCTCATCACCTCTCGGCCTCCTCATCACCTCCCGGTCTCCCTCATCACCTCCCGGCCTCTTCATCATCTCCCAGCCTCCCTCATCACCTCCCAGCCTCTTCATCACCTCCCGGCCTCCTCATCACCTCCCGGCCTCCCTCATCACCTCCCGGCCTCCCTCATCACCTCCCGGCCTCCTCATCACCTCCCAGCCTCTTCATCACCTCCCGGCCTCCTCATCACCTCTTGGCCTCCTCATCACCTCCCGGCCTCCCTCATCACCTCCCGGCCTCTTCATCATCTCCCAGCCTCCCTCATCACCTCCCAGCCTCTTCATCACCTCCCGGCCTCCTCATCACCTCCCGGCCTCCCTCATCACCTCCCGGCCTCCCTCATCACCTCCCAGCCTCCTCATCACCTCCCGGCCTCCCTCATCACCTCCCGGCCTCTTCATCATCTCCCGGTCTCCCTCATCACCTCCCAGCCTCCCTCATCACCTCCCAGCCTCCTCATCACCTCCCAGCCTCCCTCATCACCTCCCTGTCTCCCTCATCACCTCCCTGTCTCCCTCATCACCTCCCGGCCTCCCTCATCACCTCCCGGCCTCCTCATCACCTCCCGGCCTCCTCATCACCGCCCGGTCTCCTCATCACCTCCCAGCCTCCCTCATCACCTCCCTGTCTCCCTCATCACCTCCCGGCCTCCCTCATCACCTCCCGGCCTCCCTCATCACCTCTCGGCCTCCTCATCACCTCCCGGTCTCCCTCATCACCTCCCGGCCTCTTCATCATCTCCCAGCCTCCCTCATCACCTCCCAGCCTCTTCATCACCTCCCGGCCTCCTCATCACCTCCCGGCCTCCCTCATCACCTCCCGGCCTCCCTCATCACCTCCCGGCCTCCTCATCACCTCCCAGCCTCTTCATCACCTCCCGGCCTCCTCATCACCTCTCGGCCTCCTCATCACCTCCCGGCCTCCCTCATCACCTCCCGGCCTCTTCATCATCTCCCAGCCTCCCTCATCACCTCCCAGCCTCTTCATCACCTCCCGGCCTCCTCATCACCTCCCGGCCTCCCTCATCACCTCCCGGCCTCCCTCATCACCTCCCGGCCTCCCTCATCACCTCCCGGCCTCCTCATCACCTCCCAGCCTCTTCATCACCTCCCGGCCTCCTCATCACCTCCCGGCCTCCCTCATCACCTCCCGGCCTCCCTCATCACCTCCCAGCCTCTTCATCACCTCCCGGCCTCCTCATCACCTCCCGGCCTCCCTCATCACCTCCCGGCCTCCCTCATCACCTCCCAGCCTCCCTCATCACCTCCCAGCCTCCTCATCACCTCCCGGCCTCCCTCATCACCTCCCGGCCTCTTCATCATCTCCCGGTCTCCCTCATCACCTCCCAGCCTCCCTCATCACCTCCCAGCCTCCCTCATCACCTCCCTGTCTCCCTCATCACCTCCCTGTCTCCCTCATCACCTCCCGGCCTCCCTCATCACCTCCCGGCCTCTTCATCACCTCCTGGCCTCCTCATCACCTCCCGGCCTCCTCATCACCTCCCGGTCTCCCTCATCACCTCCCGGCCTCCTCATCACCGGCTCTGCAGCTCTCCGGGTTTCAGAGGCACTTCAGGTGCCCTCGGCTCCATCACCCCTTCCTGCCCCATCCTCTCCTAATCCAGGCAGTGTGGGAAAGGCTAACCGAGGGAAATCCCGAGGGGGCTCTGGGCCCAGACAGTGGGCAGCCCTAGGTCAGGGGCAGGGCTGAGCAGGCAGACATGCTGGGGCAGGGCCAGGGCGTGGGGACCAGGTCAACAGACGCCCGGAAGGTGCCTGTCCGACCCTGGCAGGCAGCCTTCTCCAGCTCCCTGGCTCCCCGAGTCCTTCTCGGTCTGGGTGGGGGCCGGAAGCCCAGTGGCCATCTCCACAGACAGAAGCCCCACCCAGTGGCTGCTGGGATCCCCCGGGCCAGGACAGGAAGCAGGAGCTTTCCGGAGGAAAGAGCGCACGGACGTTACCTCCTTGTCGATGGTTCTGTAGCCGCACATGGTGTTGACAACCTCTGTCTGCAGCAGAAAGATGCTCGTTAATGACCGCTGCGGGGCTTTCCGTGGACGGTGCAGCCCTGCGCTTCAGACAAAAGCTGGGAGGGTGCCCTGCCCAGCAGTGGGGAGGGGGGCATCCCCAGCCTGCCAGTCTAGCTTGAACACACACTGGACCCCCTCCCACAGGCCGGAAAGGGAAGGCTGGCTGGAAGCCCCCTGTCGCTCCCCTAGGGCAGCAGCTGCGCCCCACTCTGCGGGGATCTCAGACACCAAAGACTCCCAGGCGGGGGCCGGGAAGACTGTTTCGTGGGGAGGACCCTTGCCTTGCACGCTGACGACCTGGGTTCGATCCTGGCACATGTGGTCCCCCAGGCCCTGCCAGGAGTCATCCCTGAGCACCTCTGGGCATGGCAAGGAGAGTGAGAGAGACACAGACAGACAGACAGACAGACAGACAGACAGACAGTCTCCAGCCACATCCAGCTGCTGGCCCACTGGGGTTCACCAAGAGAAAGGTCAGGGGTGGGTGGGGGACGGGGAGACTGAGCGCGCTGCTTTGGCCCTGCACACACAGCCCCTCTGCGGCCGAGCCCCCCAGGTTCCTTCTGGGTAAGAGCGTTCCCAGCTACCGAGTAGCCTGTGCGGGAAAGGCCCAGCGGGAGCCCATCAGAAGCCTCCGCGGGGTGCTGGCCACCGCCGCCTGGAGCTGGACACTGGCCCTCCTGCTCCTCCCCAGACCCCCCAGGCCCGAGCTGCCGGGGGCAGGGGCTGTGGGCGCAGTGGCCTCAGTGCCCGCACAGGGCTGGGTGGTGGCAGCAGCAGCCCCCCTGTGTCCCACCCCGCGGGCACGGATGTGCAGGTAAAGTGCTGATCCCCAGACAGTCGGACAGGCTGGGGGCTGGGGGGCATCTGAGAAAAGTCAGACTCAGATGTCACCAGAGCAGAGCCTGATGTGTGGGCAAGGAACTCTGCCCTGGTGCCGGGGGGGGGGGGGGGGGGGGCAGTTGCTCGGCCCGGCCTAGCTTTCCCGGACCCTCCAGGCCGAGAACAGAGTCCGCCGGGAGCTGACGGGGCTTGCCAGCAGGTCTCCCCGGGCCCTCTCTGAGCACCGAACAGCAGCAGTGTGGTGGCCCTCGCTGTCCTGCACACTTGTACTACCAGAGTGCAGGGTAACATCCCAGCTTCCCTGGAGCCTGCATTCTCCGACGCGACAAGGGAGATTCTGGCAAGGGTCCCTTCCCGGCCCTCTGGCCAGCGCTGTCTGCCTTCCTGCCAGACCCAGGAGAGCCAGCCGACAGCCTGAGCCCAAAAGAACTGAAGAACGGATGCTCCAGGGCACCCCGAGGCAGCGGGCTGGGTTAACTCTCTCCTTCCCAGGGCAGGAACGAGTCCACCCGCACCCCCGATGCCTCTAGGAAGGCTGGGGAGGAGGACCAAAGACCCCCGTCGTTTCCCGTGATCCCAGGGGCCCTGCAGACCCCTCGGTCAGATAAATAAATATCAATTGATTTATTAATAAATTGTTTATTAATTTATTAATAAATAAATTATTTATTAATTTATTGATTATTTATTTATTTATTAAATGATTTAATTTTTTTAATTAAAAGAAAAACTGTTCCCCTCCCCTTGCCCTCACTGGTGTTGCTGGGATGGCCAGTGGCCACGCACTTTGTAGTGGGGTCCGGCAGGGGGTCAGACTCCCTCTGCAGCTGGGGCGCCCGCCACCCCGGATGCTGGAGATGGCACACCACGGCCGCGCTGGGCAGCAGAGAGCAGAGCTGGGACCACACGCGGCCCAGCCCGGAGCACGAAGGATCAGACTCACGGCCGACACTGGTCAGGTAGGTGCTTCCCACGGGGAGCCATCCGCCTGAGCTCCCGGGTGTGGATTTTAGTTTTCATCTAAATTAAGTGTGAGCACCTGTTGTGCGGGCAGTGAGTGTGGGCACCTCCTATGATGTGGGCAGTGAGTGTGGGCACCCCCTAATGTGGGCAGTGAGTGTGGGCACCTTGTTACATGAGCATTAAGAGTGGGTATCCCCTCAAAAGGAGAGAGAGAACAAAAGGGAATGCCCTGCCACAGAGGCAGGGTGGGATGGGGGAGGGATGGGGGATGGGAGGGATGCTGGGACCCGTGGTATTGGAGGATGGACACTGGTGGAGGGATGGGTACTTGATCATTGTATAACTGAAACCCAAGCATGAAAACTTGCAAGTCTACAACTGTACCTCATGGTGTTTCACTAATTAAAAAAAAAAAGAGTGGGAACCCCCTCAGGTGAGCAGTGGGTGTGGGCACCTGTTACATGAACAGTGCGTGTTCTCTGCAGGGCCTGGACAGGAACTACACTGGGAGCTCAGACTGGGTGGAGCTCCACCAACACCCCTGCTGGACAGCCCCCTGGGCCCCCTGGACAGCCGCACCAGCCCCTGCCCTGATTCTGACCCCCACAGCTGACCCGTGTTTCTGGAGGCCTGACCTACTTCCTGTCACTCGGGGAACCTCAGAGTGCCAACAGGGGCTTCAGTCCACCAGGCCTCCTGGCTACACCCGCCCTCTGCCCTCTGCCCTCCTGGCTTTCCTCAGGGCATGGCACTTGCTGTTCCGACTCCTGGGCCGTGCCCACCTCCCTCTGCCCCTCCTTCTGGTTTGCACTCTGACCCCTTCACAGAACTCAGACTGAAGCCCTCCATGTCCCTGCTATCCTGAGCTCACGACATCAGGAACACACTGTTCCTTGCACCTTCGTTGATGGTCAGTTTCCCCAGGTAGAACATCCGCTGTGAGCGGGCAGAGCTCTCTCTTCGTTTCCTATAGCCTTGGAACCTAGACCCATGCTGGCACATAGTAGTCACTCAATAAATTTAAGTGGCATGAATGAGTGAATAAATGAGAGGCCATGTATCAGCCTGGACATTTGGGTGTTATTTTCCTGGGCTCAAAACTATCATAAACACACGTGTGCACACACACACACATGCATGCACACACCAGCACGTGCACACACACACCACAATATATTTGTGAACACACGTGTGTGTGCACACACACACATTCATGCATGAACACAGACACACACACACACATACACACGCACACACACGCGCCTCTGTAAACCCTGGGCAAATCCCTCACTGCCCCTGCGCAGACACAGTTTCCCTAAAATGGCAGCTAAAATTCCCGAACCCGCCTCCAAGGGCTGCCCAGCCTTTTTTAGGGCGACTGTGTGGAACGCCTGCTCCCTGCGCCTGGGGTGGGGCCCACACCCGCACGCCCACCCCAGCTGCTTGGTGAACAGAAGCCAAGAGCAAGCACGAGGCGGTGACATCAGAAGAGCGTTTTTCCATGACTGCTCAGGGCATGAGTAACTGCAGCACCTCACCCTGCGGAAACCAGGCAGGCTCTGGACACAATGAGAGGCCCCCTGGGGCCCGGGGCAGCTGCACAGGACACGATGGCCCAGGAGTTTGGCTTGCCATCCTTGGGGTTCCTGGAAGTCCCCTGGCACTGCACATCACCAGGATGGAGGAATGCCAGGCATCACCCCTGGGCTGAGATGCCCGTGTGCCCCAGGCTGCAGTCTCGGCCCCAGGCCTGGCCCCTCAGCTCCTCACCCACTGTGCAGCTGTCCAGAGCTGGGGGCTAACCTTGGGGCCTCCTCCTCCCCAGAGCTAATAGCAGCTCCCGTTCCCCTCCCGCCTCTCTGAGGGGATGGAGGAACGAGCTCCTGCAACTCACAGACCCCAGAACAGGAAATACCAACAGCCCCACCAGTCCCCGGGGGTCCTCCATCCCTTCATCCCCTCCAGAGCCCCCTGGGCTCATGGCCCGACCTCTTCCTACCCTGCCCCGACGCCCCGGGGAGGCGGTACCGTGTTCTTGAAGCAGCAGGTGTAGGGCACCCCGCAGGCCAGGGGTCCTGGGGCGTCGCAGTCATGGTACTGGTTCTTGCTCCAGTCTCGGTAATCCTCCCCGCCACAGCACTTGAACTGCGAGAGGAAGAAAGTGGGCTGGTCAGCTCCAGGGCCAGCAGGAAGGTGCCAGCCAGGAGAGGCTGCTGCCTGTCTATTGTGTGGGGCATCCTGCTGGGCGGCGTTGGGGGGTGAGCCTGCCGTCTCTGGAGGCATGCGAGTCCAGGCTGGGCCCGTGCAGGATCAGGGCACCGTGCCAGTGCCGGAGGGAAAGTCCTTCCCTCACAAACCGACCCACTCTGTGTTCCGCTACAGCTACTGGAACCCCGGCACCAGCCTCGCAGGTGAAACCAGCGGTCAGGACCCCACTGACAGCCTGACTCTGCGGGTCTTGCCCCTGGCATGGAGCACAGGCAGACCCCACCCTGCCATGGGCTTGGGACACAGTCCTTGGGGAAGCTGGCATCGGGCCAGCGCCTCCCTGCAGTGCCCCTGTGCCAACCTCTGCATGAGGACCTACCCCAGCCCCTCCCGGGAGATCCCCCCGAGTGCCAGGGGCCAGTCAGGGGGTCAAAGGCTCTGCTTGGTGGGCTTCATGGGGGTCAGGGCTGGGGGGGGCATGTCTAGGGCAGCGAGCACCCCGGCAGAGTCCACAGCCATGGGGCTGTGAGCCAGGGACAGAGAGTCAGGGGACAGCGAGGGGCTTGAGGTCCGGGTCGGGACAGCCCAGCTGGGGTGTCTCAGCTGCCACTCGGGCTTTGGCGGGTCCCTCTGGAACACATCTTGCCTCTGTCTCTCCCCTCCCTTGTTTCTAAGTTTTGTTTGCTACAATGTATCTTGCTTCAGTGAAAGGAAAAAACAAAGATGCGATAGGAATGGCAGGAAAAGAGAACACAGGGGCGGGGCTGGCTGCGGGAAGAAGCGACCAGGAGGGGCCGAAGTGAGGAGCCCCGGCAGCGGACCTGGGGTGGGGGCCGGTCCCCAGCAGCCCACACAGTCCCCCCAAACCCCCTAGGGGTGGTCTCTGAGTGCAGAGCCAGGACTAGGTCCTGAGCACTGCTGGGTGTGACCCCCCTAAAAACACATTAAATCAATTCATTCAAATGAAGAGGGGCTGGGGCTGGAGCGATAGCACAGCAGGTAGGGCGTTTGCCTTGCACGCGGCCGACCCGGGTTCGATTCCCTGCATCCCATAGGGTGCCCCGAGCACCGCCAGGAGTAATTCCTGAGTGCAGAGCCAGGAGTAACCCCCGAGCATCTCTGGGTGTGACCCTGAGAATCTCTGGGTGTGCTATTAGGCAGTGCAGGGTTTGTTTGGGTCACAGCCCCCCCCCAAAAAATGAAGAGGTGAGCTGGTGTCTGGACCGCAGGAGGGGGCGCAGCAGAGAGTGCCGGGGGGCTGAGGTGGAGACGGAGGCCCAGGGCAGCCCCTGCAGCACCTGGCTGGAGGGCTGAGGGGGCGGGAGAAATGCAAGCCCCCTTCCCACGAACCACAGGACCCTTGCCCTGGGGCGGCCTCTCTGGGGCACTTGCTTTGCAAGCAGCCTGGCCTCCCCGCAGACGCTTGGATGCTCGCCCCGTGCCCTGTGGCGTGACCCCACAATGCCATCTGCTCCTTCTGGCTCTTGGAGCCCCGGCGGGAGCGGCAGAGCAGGGCCAGCTTGGTGCGGGCGAGCTGAGGCCGGCGGGGAGGGGCTCGGGGCTGGCGCCCATGAGCATGAATCATCCGTCCACCCCATCACGGCCAGCTGAAGGCGGCCCCTGAGAAATCAGCTCGTGCTGTGAAGCAGAGCCCAGCAGCGGGCCGGCCCCGGCAGGAAGCGCCCCCCAAGGCTGCACCTGCGGGAGACGGAAGCCAAAGGCCTGAGCCCAGGAGTGGCCATTGTGGGGGGGTCTGGGTGCCCCCCGAGGGCAGCTGAAATCTCCCAGGAGGGGTGTCAGGGCTGATGTGCCCACACCCGCAGTATCGCCCACGAGAGGCCGCCGTGACCGCACAGAGCCTGCTGGGTCCTTGTGCCAATGGCCCCGTCAGTGTCCTGGCACTGTCTGGGTGGTGGGATCGAACCCAGGCCTCTCGCATGCAGAGCCTGCACTCGGCTCCCTAGACCAATCTCCCTGCACCAGCAGACTTGGGCACTGTGGGGAGAGGGTGACATCCCTAAATGACCACTGGCACATTCAGAGAAGCTGGGCGGACAGTCCCGTCCTCTGTGTCCTGCTGTTGGGGGGCGGAAGAGGACGGTGGTGGCATCCCAGCAGGGATGGGGCGTGAGGGGTGCGGGCGGCTTGGTGGGCGCTCCCGCCCCCATCCAGAAGCCCGCACCCCTGTGATGCGCTGGCGGGGCTGAGTAGAGTCTGGGAGCTGTGCTTGGCCTGGTTGCTGAGTCAGGGGGCCGGGGCAGGCAGGTGGATAAAGTCGAGTCTGGATCCCCACCCCTGCCAGGGCATCCACGTGCCAGCCTTCGGCCACCTGCTTTGGGACTGGGCAAGTCACAAGATCCCTCAGCCGCTCTCTCGGGCAGAGCCCCCCCTGATGGGGCCCTGGGGTGGAGCACGGGGGTCAGAGGGCTGGGAGGCGCCTCTCAGGCCTCGGCCAGCTCACCTTCTTCTGAACAAAGTCCATGATGTTCTTGAAGTCCAGGTCGTCGTAGTAGTTGACGATTCCTCTCCGGATGTTGTCATTCAGGAAGTCGATGGTCTGTTCCCACAGAGACAAGGGAAGCACAAAAGTCACATCAGGGGCCGAAACTGCAGGGCGGAGGGGCTGAGGGGAGGGCACCGGCCTTGCACGCGGCTGGCCGGGTTTGGTCCCCAGCATCCTATGGGGCCCCCCAAGCCCCCTCAGGAGTGACCCCTGAGAGCAGAGCCAGGAGTCAGCCCTGAGCACTGCCAGGCGTGGCCCCAGAATCCAAAACAAAAGGCCCCCATCAGCTGGAGTCCAGCCCAGAAGTCCAGACAGGACCAGAATCCCCTCTCCTGTGCGAGGGCCCCGGCCCAATGTGCACCCCTCATTTCCTTCCCCCATGCCCGGGGCCTCCCTGCCCTCGTATCCATCTGAGGCCCATCTCGCCCATGTGTGTCGCCTGTTACTCTGCAAAGGCCACAGCCCAGGCCCGACTCCGGAACTGGGGGGGCCCTGCCTGGAGCTCCCGCCGCCTCCAACCTCCAAGTCAGGCCTGCGAGGGAACGTTCCAGGCGTCCCCAGGTGCCTCTCCCGGCTATCACAGGCAGACAGGGCCAGAGAGGGAGCCTCCAGGACCCAGGTCACACAGCAGGTCAGAGGCCGGCAGGTGCCCCCAGGACAGCCCGCAGCTCCCGGGAAGGGGCTGGCACCGCGCCCCCACCATCACGCTGGCCCGTGGGGTGGGAATCAACAGCCCCGCCGTTGTGCTAAGATCTGGAGCACAAAGGCCCCACGGCAAGCAGCCGGGCAGCGGCAGAGGAGGGGGGAGGGGGGAGATGTGGGCAGCCCTGCTCTGCGCTGGCGGCCACAATCGCGGCTTTCAGAGCAGCGAGGCCCGAGTGTCATTAGAGACGGCGCTGGCACAAAGGGGCATTCTCGATGGCGGAGCCAGACGCTCCCCGGGGGAGGCGCCTGTGACCGCCCTGGGTTCCAGGCCGGGTCCAGCGCTGCAGACGCTGATGGGGCGGCATCCCCTCCCCGGGCCTCAGTTTCCCACCTGGGAGCCCCCTCTGCTGGCCCGTGTTCAAGGCTCCTTCCAGGTCTGAGGGCCAAAGACGGGCCGAGAGGGGCTCCCAGGGGGCGCCTCGTGGGTTCAAGGCCTCCAGGTCCTCACCCGCAGAGTCCCCAGAGCCCCCTCCGTCATAACTTGCCGTGAAATTACAGTAAATGAAGTACCAGTGTGGGTCCTAGAAGTAATATCAGAGGCGGGCCTGTCTACTTCCCTCCCTCCCTCCCTCCCTCCTGTCCTTCCTTCCTTCCTTCCCTCCCTTCCTCCCTCCTTCCTTCCTTCCTTCCTTCCTTCCTTCCTTCCTTCCTTCCTTCCTCCCTTTCTTCCTCCTCCTCCCTCCCTCCCCCCCACCCTCCCTTCCTACCTCCCTTCCTTCCTTTCTTTCTTCCTTCCTTCCTCCTCTTGCCTTCCTCCTTCGCTTCCTCTCTCCCCTCCCTCTCTCCCTTCCTTCCTCCCTCCCTCCCTCCCTTCCTTCCTTCTTTCCTTCCTCTCTTCCTCCCTTTCTTCTTTCTTCTACCCTTCTTTCCTTCCTTCCTTCCTTCCTTCCTTCCTTCCTTCCTTCCTTCCTCCTCTTCCCTCCCTCCCTCGCTTCCTCCCTCCCCTCCCTCCCTCCCTCCTTCTTCCTCCCTTCCTTTCTATTTTTCAGCCACACTCAGTTCAGTGGTGCTCAGGACTTCCCCTGGCTCCGTGCTCAGGAATCACTGGCTCAGGGAGCCATAAGGGATAGAACCTGGGTCAGCTGTGTGCAAGGCATATGCCCTGCGAGCTACACTAGGGCTCCAACCCCAGATCTCTCTCTCTCTCTCTCTCTCTCTCTCTCTCTGAGTCACTGACCCTGTGGTACCCCATCAGACCAAACATGTCATCAGAGGAAAATCACTAATCCCCAGGGAAGCTGAGGCCCAGCTTTTGTCCAAAAATACCTACTGCAACGGAGAAGGCCTCTGGCGGAACCGGGGAGGGCTCAGAGCCCCTCTCAAACCCCTGTCATCAGACAGGACACGTGAGCGAAATCACTACACTGCCACTGGCAGGGACGCCTGTGTCCAAGTTGGCACCCTCCCAGTCCATCCGGTTCAAGAGGTCAAGAGAGAAAACGGCTCCGAGCAAGATCTCGTGCATTGGTGGGCGCTGGTCTGACCCTGGCACCACGGGGGTCCTCTGGCCAACCCTTGAGCAGCATGCCAGAGAGTAGCCCCCAGCCGTCTCTGGATGTGGCCCGAACCCCCCAAAGTCCCACCCCCAGAAAGAGAAGCCCAGATAGAGGAAGGCACCAAGACACAGAATAGAAGAACCCAGCCGGCAAACTCCTGCTATCAAGGAAAAATCTAGACCCAAACTCAAATGAACCTGCACAGAATAGGGCGGAAAATCAAAAAAGCAAACGGAGCGGCTCAGAGGCAGGGCAGAAAGGCATGGAAAGGAAGCCCAGAGCAACGCGCCCCTCGGAGAGCCCTGGGGTGTGAGAGGGCCAGAGAAGATGACATCACCCCACCCCGCCCCCCAGGGCTTGGGAGGCACCAGCTGGGTGGTGACTTTCCGTCCCCTTGCTGGGAGCTGTCAGGAGGACACCCCTGTATTTGGTCTCTACAGAAACCCTGCAGGCAGGTCCCCGGGGAGCGCCCCACCCACCCTTGCAGGCTGAGCTCACTGGGGCCCGCCCTGTCCACAGCTGGCTGGACGCAGGCGGCCGCCTCCAGGCAGAGAGCTCGGCCACTTAGCCAGGGGGCCCCACTGCCTGCGGTGCTCCTTGTCAGAACCGGGGCCCCCACTGTGACTAAGGTTCCAGCCTCCCGTAATTCCAACCTTGACACAGGTGGCCGCTGGGCTCTGGTGACCGCAACCCCATGGTTGTCCCTCCAGCTCTCTTGAACTTGGTGCTCAGGTACCTCTAGCAGCAGGGTGACGGAATCTCAGCACCCAGGACCATGGGGGTGCAGGGTACGGAGCCCAGGAAGGCTGAGTGCGAGGCGAGCACTCTACCCGCTGTATTATTGCTCTGGCCTCAGAGGAAATAGATTTTTTTTCTTTTTGGGTCACACCCAGCGATGCTCAGGGGTTACTCCTGGCTCTCAGGCACTCAGGAATTACTCCTGGAGGTGCTCGGGGGACCATATGGGATGCTGGGAATTGAACCCAGGTCGGCTGCATGCAAGGCAAACGCCCTCCCCGCTGTGCTATCGCTCCAGCCCCGGAAATAGATTTTAAACTAAATAAGTAAATAAGGTACAGAAATGGACACTAAGTAATGATTAAGGGAACAACATCCAGAGGCCCCAACACACTTTAACATCAAACAAACAAACAAAAAACAAAAAAAGCACCAAAATCGATAGAGCAATTACCAATAGGCTAGAGATATTAACAACAACAGAAAAACAGCAAAAGATTTCAATATTCTACTATCAACAATGGACAGATAACCAGACAGAAAATCAGGGGCCGAAGTGATAGTTCAGTGGGAAGGCCATCTGCCTTGCACGCCGTCTACCCGGGTTCGATCTCCAGCATCCCATAAGGTCTCTTGAGCACTGCTAAGAGTGATTCGGAGTACAGTGCCAGGAGTAAGCCCTGAGCATCTCTGGGTGTGACCATGGAAGTCACGGAAATACAGACTTACCTCAGGAAATAAGAAACTCTCAATCCAACCTCACACCTTAAGGAACTAGAAAGGTGAGACCCAAAGTAAGTAGAAGGAAGAAAACTTTCAATTCAAGAGAGAGGGGCTGGAGCGATAGCACAGCGGGTAGGGCGTTTGCCTTGCATGCAGCCAACATGGCCGACACAGGTTCAATTCCCAGCATCCCATATGGTCCCCCGAGCACCGCCAGGAGTAATTCCTGAGTGCATGAGCCAGGAGTAACCCCTGAGCATCGCCGGATGTGACCCAAAAAAGCAAAAAAAACAAAAAAACAAAAAACAAAATTCAAGAGAGAATAGCACTGTAGCACTGTCCTCCCACTGTTCATCGATTTGCTCGAGTGGGCACCAGTGACGTCTCTATTATGAGACTCCTTGTTTCTTCCGTATTTGGCATATTGAATACGTCATGGGGAGCTTGCCAGGCTCTGCCGTGTGGGCGGGATACTCTCGGTCGCTTGTCCAGCTCTCTGAGAGGGACGGAGGAATTGAACCCGGTTGGCCCCATGCAAGGCAAACGCCCTACCTGCTGTGCTATTGCAAAGTAATTTAAAAAAAAAGAACATTAAAGATAAAAGAAATCAAGAGCTGGTTCTTCGAATCAAAAAATAAGATTAACAAAACTTCTTTTAGGCTTATGGGGTGAAAAAGAGAGAATGAGAGATGAAACCCTAATAAATAGGATCACAAATGAAAGAGGGGAAGCTACGACAGATGTCAGAGTGTTGGAGTACAAGGTAAGGTAAGGTAAAGGCCCTCCCGTTGATCGTCGATTTGCTCGAGCGGGCCCAGTAACGTCTCCATTGGAGACTTTGTTGTTACTGTGTCTGGCATATCGAATACTCTCGGTAGCTTGCCGGGCTCTCCGAGAGGGGCGGAGGAATCGAACTCGGGTCGGCCATGTTGGCTGCGTGCAAGGCGAATGCCCTACCGCTGTGCTATCACTCCAGCCTTTACAAGGAGCTTAGGTTTATCTGGTTGCACCCATCACAGTGCTCCCAAGCCACTCCCATTCCGTTGTTTGTCTGTAACCACTTCTATGCTCTCTTCCCCAACCAATTTGTAAGATCTCATCCTTCTAGGACACTGAACTTGTACTGTAAGTTAATATTGACTTTCTCCTCTCCTTATGTCTTTTGAATAGTTTGATGCAATGGCCTTTTTGCATAGGTATAGGAGGACAATTAATATTATGCTTTATAACTTAGGATTTAATTGGCTTTGAATATTAATTACTCACTCCCAGGCATCTGCTTTCTCAACTCAAGCCTCAGTTGCCCTCACTTCCTAGCACCCCAAGGGCAGGGTCTTGACGAGGGACTGGATGGAACCAGGGCAAGCCGGTAAGTTATGTGCTACCCTGGCA